CCCTGGTCATCTCCCGTCATGTTAGTTCAGAAGAAGGATGGACCCAACGTTGCTGTGTGGACTTCAGGGCTCCTAACAGTATAACCAAAAAGGACTCATGCCCACTGCCAATAACTGATGATACTCTCGATGCCCTAAGTGGAGCCAGGTGGTTTCAACTTTGAACTTAAAGTCGGGTTTCCATCAAGTGAAAGTGGCTGAAGCAGATAAACCTAAGACTGCATTTAGTTATGGCCAAGGTCTCTGGCAATACTATGTGATGCCATTCGGGCTCAGCAATACTCCAGCAACATTTGAGAGGCTAATAGAGTACTGGAAGGCCTACAATGGAGGATAGCCCTAGTGTACCTGGATGATGTCATAGTGTTTGCAACAACGTTTGATGAGGAAATGTCCCGGCTAGAGGAAGTATTCAAGCGTTTGAAAGCAGCAAACCTCAAACTCCATCCCAAGAAATGCCACCTCGCGAACGTCCGAGTGTTTTCTAGACACCCTCCTTTTTAGTATATAAGCCTAGCAAGAAAAACCACGTCATCGGAAGAGATATGCAGATGAATTGAAGATATAGATAATTGAGTTAAGCAACCAGTAGGCACCATAACTAAAGTGTGTGATTCACTGTGATTTATAGCGTGTGTTATAAACGTACTTACATTTAGTGTACTAATTGGGAATTCTGTGTATTACAAAGTTGTATCGAGTTGTGTTATTCTATCAGAAATTAACAAACAAGCAGATACACAACAATATTATATGTACATGGGCTGCAGTAAGGAAAGTTTGTAAATCAGACAAGACAACCATAAGTCATGAAAGTAAGTTGGGAAACAATCAGCAATAGCTATAACTACTTATTCATCAAACTATACTTATAGGTCACGGAGAGGAGAAAACCAGAGAGAAACAGTCCCAACAATGGGGTTGGATGGTCTAATAACTGAAAGATTGTCAGATGTAGCTGCCTCATTTAATGAAGCTGATAGGCGCCCAGTTTGCCATTCCAGTTCCTGCTCTTACACATTTCACTTTCTCATGTTCCAATAGGAGCACTCTAAATGTGTAATTAATCATGATTGATTGAAAATATCAACATGTTTTATAACATCATTTATGCCAAATTATCATACTGGATTTCTCTATTATTGTGAAAGTTACTACAGTGTTGGAATATCTTAGGTTTAGATTTATAAAGGTAATACAACTTTCTTGTGTTTTTTTATGTTTCTGTTATCCAAAAGAGCATTATTGCTGGATACAACTTGAAACTTTTATTAGATATTTTCTTAATATTGGACCAAGGGGTCTTGATACCTCCCTTTTTCAATGCAAAAATAAAATCTAATGAAACACTAAAGCAGTGAATTGAAATAAAGAGAAAATAGGGATTCAAGTGGCAGATATATTATATGTATTTGTTTTCTGAGATCAGATATGCTTGTATTACTGAGGAAAATGGGGTTTTGACTGTCTGTAATGTGTCAAACGTTGAATACAGCTGTAAAGGATCTTTTCTTCCAAAATATTATGATCAATTTAAAGCCAACTACAAATCTTTGAAGGTTCCCTTTTCGTTGGTATGACTGTCAGATAGACATTCCATCCTTCACTCGAAAGCATTAATAAATAGTGCTTAATATAACCTGATTCTAGGAGTAGCTCTTAGATCCTGCTTCTACCAGTCCGCTCCACAAATGAAGGAAAAGATGGTCTCAACGATAGAAGAAAGTATTGGTCATTTGGATTTATTATTTAGACGTTGTAGTTGCGAGTGACAGGCATAATTCTGTGGAAATTGTCAAGAATTGGACTTAGAGAGATTTAAAATTTCAAAAAGTCATAGCCTTCTCACAGAGGGGCAAGCCCTCTCTCAGTCGCTTTGATATCCATTAATCTGGACCCCCTTTTCAGAATCCAGGATCTACCCCCTCCTTCGAGGAAGATTAAGGAAAACAGCGGAGAATCATTTTATACACTGGATTTCTTTCTATTGTTATAGAAGTATATATGGTTATGACATTCTTATGATGAGGTTAGATAAGCTGTTTTATAGAAAAGAAATGAAGTATAAACAGTTATCAAAGGGTGTTTTGGTGTCATTTTTTATTTTTGTCAATATCTAGATATATATAGTAACAATAGTTTATCTCAGGATAATAATGTGATATGCGCACATATCATATGTTTTCTACCTGCTTTCTTTAACATAAGAATTTTGATGCCATGACAACAGGAATTATTGTCGAGTTTATGTTTTGAGTACGTATATACTAGCCCCTTGCTTTATCTCGTGTTTATTGATTTTAAAATAATATTTGTGCATAAGAAGTACTCCCAAAGACCAAGATGGAGAGTTAACTGACAGAGACAGTTGTATAAGAGAGATGTCGAGTCTAGAAAAATTCCCCTTCTAGGCATAGGACTTTTGCTGATGATGCAAAAGTCCATGTCACCAGTCAGCCTACAACCACAAACTGGGGAGGATTCACTCATTCTAGATAATTTATCTCAGTGGAAGGGAAGCATGGACGATTAAGGGTGGTTGAAGTTGAATG